TAAAACCGATATAAACCATTGAACACATCGCAGACCTAACCATTTTACATCTACCAGCCTTCGTGAGCGAGCACGGGCATAGAGATCGGAATCTCGTACTTGTTGAGCGAATCTCCCTTAATGTAACCGTTCATTCAAAAAGTGTTGTCCCGGGTACACTCATGGTCTTCCATATCTGCTGGAGGGGAAGGTTATTCTAGGTAGGCTTTCCATACGTCCCGATTTTAGCAAGTTGTCCCGCCCGCTTGACCTAAATGTCTCAATTATGCAGTATGACAACATTTTTTATTTAATGATAATACAAATTTCTTTTAATGGAGGCAGCCAATATACCACCGCTGTGCAACTTACTTCACTAGTTTAGATAGAGATAGAAACTGTTATGCCATAGTATGATAAGAAGTATGAACACCATGCATTAATTTAACATCCAACCGTACTGTCGCTGAATCATCAAAATGTGAAAAAAATATTCTAATGAGTTAAAAAGCGATTTCCCTTATTGATGTCAAAAACCAATAGTGGATATTTTAATATGATTAAAAGCTAATTTTGACGCCCGTATTCTGCCCACAAGGATATAGAAAAAGTTCACTAATATTGAGCCTCGGAATCGAACAAAGGTTGGCTTGCCCAATCCGTACTGTCCCGTTTTTTTGCCACAGATATATGGTAAGCCTAATTCTGAGTAAATTTGGGCAATCTTTCATGGACCTTTCAAGTTATTCGTGGATATAATAGGTTAAAAAATTAGTTTGATTTCCCCGAAAAAATAACTTACACAAACAATGAACACAAAATTTATTGGTAAAACTGTTAAAGCTTTAAATAAAGTCAAAACATGTAAAAAATACACGTGCCAATTTACCAATCTTACACACACGAACAAGTATAAAAAGATTAAAAAAAATACCAACGTATATCATTCGGTCGTCTAACTTGTGTAACATAAACACACTGCTAGCATGGTGAGTTCAAATATAAAGCTTTTTCAGCCGACACGTCTAGGCTATTCTAAACAATCACGAAGTAATGTGTTGAGTGGAAGCAAAATTAATAAATAAATTTTAAATGAAAGTCCTCATTGTGAATAAAATTTGTGAGTGCTGTGTTGTAGGCGCAACATAGTTCCATACAAACAGCTTCATCATTTTTCCTCTTTAGATCTTTGGGAAATTGAAATGAGAATTGTAAACGTAGCAAGTTGGATTCAGATCCAAATCTGATTTGTTGTTATTGTGAGCCCGGTTAGCTCAGTCGGTAGAGCGTTGGACTTTTAATCCAACGGTCAAGGGTTCAAGTCCCTTATCGGGCGCTAGCTTTTTTTCAACGGTGGTAGTTTCAATCTTACTGTTAAAAAATGTCAGGTCTAGCGCCTAACCTCAAAAATATCCAGCACACAAAAGCCACAACTAACAGATAGTAAGGTCTTCTCCCAGAAGGTTTTCCATTGAATTTTATAATCGTAAAATTTCGTTCTTGCGAAAATCTATTTGCACAAAGGTTTATTATCTTTAATATACATTTTCAAAATGATTTCTCATATAAGTAAATGCATTCCTGCAAAAATTGCTGACCACAAATATTTACGGTTTACACAAATACTCTGCGCCCAAAGTTCTCGCAAAACTACAAAGTTTGTTCGCGCAAATGACACAACCAGAATTCGCATTTCACCACTTTAAGCCTTTAGCTTATGCTCAATATGCTGTCTGTTCGCTTTGCGTGTTGTCAAATTTTTCTGCCACGGAAAAGTTTTAAATGAAATGCCAGCTTTGATTATTTTGATATCAAAATATTTAAGCTAAGTGTCTATAATTTATCATGATATAGATAAAGAGAGCATGATATAGAGAGAAATCCCGTTCTTGTTTGGGATGATAGTTATTGCCGAGTAAAATCACTCCTATCTGTGACTAATGGAACAAATCGATTTTCCTTTTCAGTACTCAAAAAGTGGTTGAAGTGTTGTATATAACTTTTATTGGACAAGTGGACGATCTGTGTGTGGATCGTTTCGTTATTGTGCCGTTGTTGTTCTTTTTTTTTATCTCAATTTCCTTATTAGTATTTTACGACCAGTGAGGCTGAAATACAATCGTCGAGAGAAAAGATAACGCCCGATAAGGGACTTGAACCCTTGACCGTTGGATTAAAAGCCCAACGCTCTACCGACTGAGCTAACTGGGCTCGCAGCAGCACAAAGTTTATGTATCAACAAATAACCGGTGAACTATTCCTTGGCCCATGTCCGTGAACTACTTTCTCAAGTAGTGTTGTTACATAATGACATTCAGTTACATTGTTTAATAGGTATTCGCTCATGAATGATTTGAAAATATTTTTCTTTTATATCAAGTGTCGGATGTTCAATGATGTGATGATGGAAATAAATTTCAGCTGCTTGCATGTGTTGAGATAGCCTTTGTATAATCATTGACTCTTAAAAAAGTTATTTATAGATTGGTTTGATTAATTTCTTGAGCAGAGCCTTGTGTTTCTGGGTTGCATTATTAACAGAAATTGCTGCTCTACCTATGCATTCCAGATTGTTGTCACATTCACAAAAGCTGCAGTGCGCAAATCACTGGCCCTTCGTTTCGTTTCAAGGTTTAATTTACTGGTATATTCATTTATAAGGTTAAAAATAAGGACACACGTCAAAATAAAGATGTTTCTTAGGTCAAGTGGAGAAAAAACTTCTGTGAAAGCTAAAATACTTGAGATGGAGTGAGACCAAAATGCTGTGCTACTAAGCGTTTTTTTTTCTATATAAAGTGCAAAGTATTCATTTTCGTCACCACTTTACCTACTGACGTTATTTTGCAATGCATCGCATTTTTGATGCCTTGCTTTCTTTCGACAAGAAAGTTGTCACATCATCCTGGTCATTTGCAAGACAGACTGTGTCTTCATTTTCACATTTATTTGTTCATTTTTATCAAATTTCTTCGTCCTTCAGCAAATATTTCGATCTGTCATCAATGAACAGGGCTAGTTCTCGAGCTGTGATGTAGGAGCGTCGTCGTCGTTAAGCATCTTGTCTGAACAAAACCAACCGTGACGCCCGCCACTTGGAGGTGCAACATTGCCTTTGTTTGTTTTTTATACGGCGAGCGCAGTTGGACATCTAGTAGTAGTATATATTTACGGTCTAACTTGTGTAACATGAACACACTGCTAGCATGGTGAGTTCAAATATAAAGCTTTTTCAGCCGACACGTCTAGGCTATTCTTATCGTTTGGGATTTGTTTACATTTGCCGAGATAGCTTGATTAAGGTAAACAATCACGAAGTAATGTGTTGAGTGGAAGCAAAATTAATAAATAAATTTTAAATGTCTTCGAATGAAATTCTTCATTGTGGATAAAATTCGTGAGTGCTGTTATAGGAGTAACATAGCATGAATTGAAATGAGAATTGCAAAAGTAGCAAGTTGGATTCAGATTCAAATCTGATTTGTTGTTATTGTGAGCCCGGTTAGCTCAGTCGGTAGAGCGTTGGACTTTTAATCCAACGGTCAAGGGTTCAAGTCCCTTATCGGGCGCTATCTTTTTCTTCGACGATTATATTTCAATCTCACTGGTCGTAAAATACTAATAAGGAAATTGATAATAAAAAAAAACGACGGCATAATAACGAAACGATCCACAGGTCGTCCACTTGTCCAATAAAAGTTATATACAACACTTCAACCGGTGAAATATTCCTTGGCCCATGTCTGTGAATGGTTTACTAAATTCGCCTAAAATAACCGTCCCCTCCAACAGTTATGGAAAGACATGGGTGTTTCCTTGACCCTTGACCCCTGAAAACTTTCACCTACTTTACCATTGCAGAATTTTGATGCTTATTTTAAAAGTGTTTAGGAGAGTTGGCGCTTGCGAACTGGTTTACATGTTCACCATATTTTTTTTATATCTCAGCTTTTCTAGGACTAATTTTTGAATATATTTCAACAAAACTAAAGCTGCTCAAAAGACATAATTGCAATTAGGTTATTTAACTTACAACTCATTTTTGGAAACACTGCTGAAAACAGACAAATTAAACTCAAAATCAATATAAGAAAGCAATACTTACACATATGCATCAATATCTGTCTGAAAAAAGAAGTGTCCGAGCGGCTACATAAATTGCAATTGTTACGTCATTGTTGACGTATTCCCAATTGGTCATGGTTACGGACATAAATAAGGAAATCAATGCTCGGGGAAACAACCAGAAAGAACCTCACCCGGAGAACACTTTAAGGTGCTGCAAACATGTGCGATATTTTGAATGAACGGTTACATTATAAGAGATTCGCTATTCGAGGTGCAATATTGGGATTTGATAGTTCGACAACGACAAATAGAATTTTGTCACCCGGACAATTTTAGATCAATTTAAACTAAGTTTCACTGTCTTTCGTTGCATTGTTGAGATTTATTGGACACGAAATGGCGATGAACCGTTTGTTCATTTTGTATTTTCTTTTTGTTGTTGTGCCAAACCTCTTTTTTCTATTAACTACTGGACCAATTGCTTTGAAATTTTCAGCTGAAGTCCCTAGTTTTGTTACTCAGCCAGTCAGTAGTTTATTTTATCACAAACCGAATGTAAACATTGACGAACAAAATTGAAAAAATTAAAAAATTACATTTCAGTGCGAAGGGAGACGCGATAAACCAGAGAAGGTTATGGAGCAGCGTCCCCTTTGAGGCAGTAAGTCTAATATTAAATCATAATGAGAAAGAAGTCAAACATAAAATACTAACAAAAGCCGGACTTGAGACGCCATTAAGCGACCCGGTAACCCGGTTAATAACGAAAGAAAGCAACTCCAGACACGACAAGCCGCGGTCGCCATGGTGACCGCATATCATTGAACAACCAACCAAGAGAGCCGGACTGTCGGTGGTTATTCTGTGGCTGCGCTAAAGACTTTTGTATCTTGGCGCAGTACCGGTATCGCATTTGAGAGGGACATCACCGGATAGTTTTAATTAATTTACAAGCTAAGCAATGTTTTAAATACACACTCGTGGGGCTATGCAGAGGCTGTGTGGTGGAGGTAAATAATATATATACGATAACAAGAAGAAGAGTTAGAAATGGGGAAAAAAATAAATAAGAGGTAAGTTAAACATTATTCTGATGTATGCTAAGTGGTTGTTAGACCGAAACGTTGTTAGCGTAAAACATTACATGATACAAAAGATGCACATTATAAAGAATGGTAAAACCAGTAGGATATCATACTATGAATGTTGAAACACAGAACTTGTGCATTTGAGTGTTGACCAGATACCACAAGGTAACAATCGAGCAATTTTAAGAAGTAGTTCACAAATTCAATAAAAAGAACACGACTTATTAATTTCACTGTACAACATATAATCTATAAACAGAAATAAGGATGAATAATTAATTCACTGTGCGATATACTATAATAAAGTATCACAAAATAATCCAAGCTTTTAATTCCAGGTGATGTCGATTTGAGGGCTGTGGATCAAGTCAGGTATTATCTTGATAAACACGAAGGAAGGGTAAAAGTGTGACTTGACAAGTTCAAGAGGCCTGGTAAGAAGAGATCAGAAGATTTTTATATTTAAATTTGAAGGTCACATAGGATGAGTCATGTAGGTCTTGGGGTAGGTTATTCCAAATTAAAACGCCTTTGTATTTTAAAGAGTTTTGGGATTTGTTAAGTGAAAAGCGAGGTACAAATAAATTAGTCTTCGTCGAGGAACGAGTGTTGTGGTCATGTACTGAGCTAAGTGTCACAAAGTAATGCTCAAAAGCTGCTGGTAATTGATTGTTTTGGAATTGATGCATAATCTTAGCAATTTCTAGCTTATGTATATCAAGTAATTTTAACACTCTATGATTGTGATATAGAATGTTTAAGTTAGAACGTAAAGGTGCCCGGGAAAGAATTCTAATAGCCCTATTTTGCAGAATTTCTAAGTTGCGCAAATTTTTACGACATGTAGAACACCATGCAGCAATAGCATACTGAATGTGGGACTGGAAAAGCGCGAAGTAGACGGTCCTCAGAGCAGAATCCTGTAAATAATATCTGAGCTTACCCAGAATCCCTACAGTCCTTGATAGTTTCTTATGCAATTCATAGGTGTGCGTGTTCCACTTTAATTGGTGGTCAATATTGAGTCCAAGATATTTAAAAGAATCGACTACTTCTAATTTGTTACCCTTAATTTCAACTGAGAGTTTTGGGTATTTGATGCGAGAGTTTGGGCTGAATACCATGATTTTAGACTTATCTATATTTACTGTTAGTTTGTTGCCTAACATCCATTCATAAATGTTATTTATTTCAGTGTTCATATTAAGTTGAAGAGTGGCTGGGTCCTTTGCGTTGGCGAGCAAGCAAGCATCATCTGCAAACAATTTACTCAAGAGGGTCGAGCAGTTGGACAAGTCGTTTATGAAAAGGAGAAAAGCTAATGGGCCAACTACGGAACCCTGAACAATTCCGCAGTGGATGGGCAACATTGGAGATCTGTGTGGGCCTACTTCAACAAATTGGTAACGATACGTCAGGTAATTGGATAATAGTTTGCCTGCATTACCTCTAAAACCGTAATGTTTTAACTTATGGGTGAGAATAGTGTGGTCCACAGTGTCAAAAGCCTTTTTTAGATCTAAAAAGGCACAACAGACATAGTCGCCTTTGTCTATTTTATCATAGATAAATTAAATTTGGTACAATAACTCATCATTCTAGTATAAATTAACTTTTCCGCTATGATGCTAATTGAGGATAAAATGGAGATTGGTCTATAGTTCGAAGGGTTATTCTTTTTACCACATTTAAAAATTGGTATTACTCTAGCCATTTTCAATGAGGAAGGATATATGCCTAGACTAAACGATGAATTGAAAAAGTGACTTAGTATCGGTGATATAATATCGGCAACTATTGTTAGGAAATAGGAGGAAATACCATCGGGCCTAACAGCTTTACCTTTTTCAGGTTCCTGATTACATAGAGAACTTCCGAAGGTGTTGTTAATTCAAGGAAGAAAGTGTTCTGCGAAGGGACACCTAGAAGTTCGGTACATGGTTTTGAGCAACGTGCGATTTTATCTGCAAGTTTCTTCCCTATGGTTGAGAAGAATTTATTAAATTCGGTGGCCACTTGAACTGGATCAGAAACTGTGGTACCATTTTCTAGTATCAATTCTGAGATGGTGGTGTTATCTCTTGACTTAATTTTGATGATGTCATTGATGGTTTGCCATGTGCGTTTCACATCGCCTCTGTTGTTCACTAGAATATTATGGTAATACTGTTGTTTCGATTTTCTCTGCAAATAAGTTAGAATGTTTTTGTACTTTTTGTAGTGAAGACGCTGGGATGCATTTCCCTTCAGATACATTTGCTTGAACATATTATTTTTTGTTTTATCGACGTCAGTTTAATTAAGAAGAGAGCGATGCGCAAATATTGGGACACCAAAAGCCAAAACGAAGTAATATGAGTAGGCAATCTGTTACAGCCTAATTCTTACTTCCATAGTAAGGGAGAAATAAAGAGGTTTTAAATAGGCGAAGAGAAAAATTTATTCAAGAAGGCTGGGCCACTGACTTCGGTTATCAGGAGGTAAATACAATTAATCGTTATCATAGTGGACCTTAGGCGCAGCCTGGTTGACGCCTCGTCTCTGTGGCGCAATCGGTTAGCGCGTTCGGCTGTTAACCGAAAGGTTGGTGGTTCGAGCCCACCCAGGGACGTTTATTGTTTTTCAAAATAATCTGGGTGATGTCACAAAAGTCTATTTGTCGTTGCCAAACTGTAAAAGCCCCAATATTGCACCTGGAATGGCAAATCTCTCTTTAATGTCAATGTTCGTTCAGTTCAGTCGTTGTCCGTGTACGCTCATCTACTGCGGGGGAATGTTATTCTGGGTAAATTTGGGGAACCTTTCCCAGTCATAGGACGAGTTATTCGTGGATACATGGACCTCTTGTTATCGTTCGCCCGGTTAGCTCAGTTAGTAGAGCGTTGGACTTTTAACTCAACGGTCAAGAGTTCAAGTCTCTTATCGGGCGCTCGCTTTTTCCTAACGGTTATATTTCAATCCCACTGTTCCAAAATTTGCCTTGTTGTGCCAAGTGAGGCGACTGAACATTGTACCTTTTATATATATTAAATTGTTCAATTTGGTTCTACCGTTCCTGTTAAGGTTAATGAGTAGAAATGGATTTTAAGCCTTTTACTTGTCCCTTAGTTAAGGTAGCTATCGGCAACCAGTGGCTCCGAAGCCGCATGCCGCTATTTGCCGCTAGTTTTTTGTCAGAAGCTGCAGGGATTCAATAAAAAGGGAGGTATAGGACGAAATACGCTAATTACGCGTCACATCGGTTTCGAAAGTATAAGTCACAAGCTGTAAAAATGAGTCGCATTTGAAATCTGTCAGAACACACTTTTTCTTTTCATTGTCAAATTCTTTATCTCTTCGTAGACTGAAGTATTGCATTTTAGGCTACTTCTTAGTAAGAAATAGATTATTGCATCATAAGTCGTTTTCAGGGAGTTTCAATATCCACTGGCATTGGAATAGATGTTGCGGTTTCGATTAAGTTTGAGTTCAATTGAAAGGATGGCTCTTTTAATGCTAAAGGTTGCCATAGTGTAAAACCGATATAAACCATTGAACACATCGCAGACCTAACCATTTTACATCTACCAGCCTTCGTGAGCGAGCACGGGCATAGAGATCGGAATCTCGTACTTGTTGAGCGAATCTCCCTTAATGTAACCGTTCATTCAAAAAGTGTTGTCCCGGGTACACTCATGGTCTTCCATATCTGCTGGAGGGGAAGGTTATTCTAGGTAGGCTTTCCATACGTCCCCGATTTTAGCAAGTTGTCCCGCCCGCTTGACCTAAATGTCTCAATTATGCAGTATGACAACATTTTTTATTTAATGATAATACAAATTTCTTTTAATGGAGGCAGCCAATATACCACCGCTGTGCAACTTACTTCACTAGTTTAGATAGAGATAGAAACTGTTATGCCATAGTATGATAAGAAGTATGAACACCATGCATTAATTTAACATCCAACCGTACTGTCGCTGAATCATCAAAATGTGAAAAAAATATTCTAATGAGTTAAAAAGCGATTTCCCTTATTGATGTCAAAAACCAATAGTGGATATTTTAATATGATTAAAAGCTAATTTTGACGCCCGTATTCTGCCCACAAGGATATAGAAAAAGTTCACTAATATTGAGCCTCGGAATCGAACAAAGGTTGGCTTGCCCAATCCGTACTGTCCCGTTTTTTTGCCACAGATATATGGTAAGCCTAATTCTGAGTAAATTTGGGCAATCTTTCATGGACCTTTCAAGTTATTCGTGGATATAATAGGTTAAAAAATTAGTTTGATTTCCCCGAAAAAATAACTTACACAAACAATGAACACAAAATTTATTGGTAAAACTGTTAAAGCTTTAAATAAAGTCAAAACATGTAAAAAATACACGTGCCAATTTACCAATCTTACACACACGAACAAGTATAAAAAGATTAAAAAAAATACCAACGTATATCATTCGGTCGTCTAACTTGTGTAACATAAACACACTGCTAGCATGGTGAGTTCAAATATAAAGCTTTTTCAGCCGACACGTCTAGGCTATTCTAAACAATCACGAAGTAATGTGTTGAGTGGAAGCAAAATTAATAAATAAATTTTAAATGAAAGTCCTCATTGTGAATAAAATTTGTGAGTGCTGTGTTGTAGGCGCAACATAGTTCCATACAAACAGCTTCATCATTTTTCCTCTTTAGATCTTTGGGAAATTGAAATGAGAATTGTAAACGTAGCAAGTTGGATTCAGATCCAAATCTGATTTGTTGTTATTGTGAGCCCGGTTAGCTCAGTCGGTAGAGCGTTGGACTTTTAATCCAACGGTCAAGGGTTCAAGTCCCTTATCGGGCGCTAGCTTTTTTTCAACGGTGGTAGTTTCAATCTTACTGTTAAAAAATGTCAGGTCTAGCGCCTAACCTCAAAAATATCCAGCACACAAAAGCCACAACTAACAGATAGTAAGGTCTTCTCCCAGAAGGTTTTCCATTGAATTTTATAATCGTAAAATTTCGTTCTTGCGAAAATCTATTTGCACAAAGGTTTATTATCTTTAATATACATTTTCAAAATGATTTCTCATATAAGTAAATGCATTCCTGCAAAAATTGCTGACCACAAATATTTACGGTTTACACAAATACTCTGCGCCCAAAGTTCTCGCAAAACTACAAAGTTTGTTCGCGCAAATGACACAACCAGAATTCGCATTTCACCACTTTAAGCCTTTAGCTTATGCTCAATATGCTGTCTGTTCGCTTTGCGTGTTGTCAAATTTTTCTGCCACGGAAAAGTTTTAAATGAAATGCCAGCTTTGATTATTTTGATATCAAAATATTTAAGCTAAGTGTCTATAATTTATCATGATATAGATAAAGAGAGCATGATATAGAGAGAAATCCCGTTCTTGTTTGGGATGATAGTTATTGCCGAGTAAAATCACTCCTATCTGTGACTAATGGAACAAATCGATTTTCCTTTTCAGTACTCAAAAAGTGGTTGAAGTGTTGTATATAACTTTTATTGGACAAGTGGACGATCTGTGTGTGGATCGTTTCGTTATTGTGCCGTTGTTGTTCTTTTTTTTTATCTCAATTTCCTTATTAGTATTTTACGACCAGTGAGGCTGAAATACAATCGTCGAGAGAAAAGATAACGCCCGATAAGGGACTTGAACCCTTGACCGTTGGATTAAAAGCCCAACGCTCTACCGACTGAGCTAACTGGGCTCGCAGCAGCACAAAGTTTATGTATCAACAAATAACCGGTGAACTATTCCTTGGCCCATGTCCGTGAACTACTTTCTCAAGTAGTGTTGTTACATAATGACATTCAGTTACATTGTTTAATAGGTATTCGCTCATGAATGATTTGAAAATATTTTTCTTTATATCAAGTGTCGGATGTTCAATGATGTGATGATGGAAATAAATTTCAGCTGCTTGCATGTGTTGAGATAGCCTTTGTATAATCATTGACTCTTAAAAAAGTTATTTATAGATTGGTTTGATTAATTTCTTGAGCAGAGCCTTGTGTTTCTGGGTTGCATTATTAACAGAAATTGCTGCTCTACCTATGCATTCCAGATTGTTGTCACATTCACAAAAGCTGCAGTGCGCAAATCACTGGCCCTTCGTTTTCGTTTCAAGGTTTAATTTACTGGTATATTCATTTATAAGGTTAAAAATAAGGACACACGTCAAAATAAAGATGTTTCTTAGGTCAAGTGGAGAAAAAACTTCTGTGAAAGCTAAAATACTTGAGATGGAGTGAGACCAAAATGCTGTGCTACTAAGCGTTTTTTTTTCTATATAAAGTGCAAAGTATTCATTTTCGTCACCACTTTACCTACTGACGTTATTTTGCAATGCATCGCATTTTTGATGCCTTGCTTTCTTTCGACAAGAAAGTTGTCACATCATC